GTCTCTTGGACAAATCACCCCAAGGGAGAGTTCGGGTGGTCTCTTGGACAAATCACCCATTCAGTTTCCGCAATAGGGTCTGCATGCAAGGGAAGGCGCAAGGGAAAGCAGGGCTTTCTCCCCGTGGACCGACCCGTGACGAGATCCTACGCGCGAGCCCATAACATGTTTCTAACATTTATTTCTGGTCCGTTGTAGTTCTATGCTTGTTGCGGTTCTAAAATAGCTTTGAAGCCCATCACAGACCCGTGCGTGTCCAAGGCTCATCGCGGGATCACACGTGTCCAAAGCTCATCGCAAGTCCACGTGTGTCTGAAACTTATCGCAAGTCTATGCATGTCTAAAGCTCATCGCAGGTTTACGCGGGTCAGATTTCATCGCAACCTGTTTCGAGTACGAGTTTGCCACAAACATGCGATGAGTTATGAGCTCATCACAAACGTGCGATGAGTTATGGACTCATTGCAGGCATTCGTGTGGTGTTGATTTGATACCCTCTGTGCTCTGATGGTCTGAGTGACCACTATGTACCTACACTCTCATCTGTCCTGTAAGTGAATGGTAAAAGAAAATCATATACATAAAGAGTGAGGGCAGGAGTCCTTACTTCAATGCTCACACGGACCTCTCCTTTCTCACACATGGTTTATTTGTTTGTAAATTAAAAATATAAAAATCGCAATAAATACCCTCTCAAGCAATGTTTAGAAAACCAGACTGGGCCAGCCGGTTCGACTGGTTGAACCGTGACCTCAGACCTTGGCCGGTTCGGGCCTACCCCAATAACTGCGTTTGCTAAAAAAGCAGTGAAAATCGGCTGACCGGCCAGTTTAACCAGAAAATCGGTGAACCAGTCCCAGTTTCATGGCCGGTTCGATAAATTTAACGGTCGAATTCGAATTTATACATTTTACCAATTAATTTATCGAATTTGAATTCGAATTCGCGTTGATCCAATTCGAATTCGATTAATTATATACATTAATATATATTAATAATAATTGTATACATTTAAAGTCTTAAAAAGGGGTCATGCCCCTCATAAAAAAAGCTGACATGCAATGATGTCACCTACACCTAACCTACTTGAGTGGTCATTTGATGACCCTTCCCCTCCCCTCTCGGGCCTCTCCCTGCTCTCTCTCTCTTCTCGATGACCATTGACCCTTCCCCTCCCCTCTCAGGCCTCTCTCTCTCTCTCTCTCTCTTCCCGATGACGCTTCCCCTCCCCTCTCGCCCTCTCGGGCTTCTCCCCCCCTCTCTCTTGTCCTTTCATCTCCCTCTTTTTTAAGTTTTAATTTCATTCTTCTTCCTCCTCTTCTCTTCCTCTCTCTCCCTCCGTCTTTTCTATTCGCACTCCTCTTCTCTTCCTCTCTTTTTTATTCCCAATCTTTGCAATTTGTGAGCACCAACGACAGCATCTATGATAGCAGTCGAGCACCGGTCACCGGCCACAACCATCTCCTTCGCCACTACTCAAACTCAAACTCAACGCCT